AAAGACTGCATCTGTGAGATTTTCTACCACAGAGGGAATTTGTTTACAGTGGGGCTTTTTGTGTTGAATTAAACTTAAAGGTTTGAGTAAAATATTAAACAACAGTAAGAATGCCTGCTTTTGTAACAGAACAAAAACACAAAATTAGGCAATTATAAGGCTTTTCATAAAAACACTACATGCAAAAGGGTTTGTCAGCACACAAAGCATTCACATTTGCCAAGTAAAGCTAAAGTATGAGGCTACAGATGATAATAACTTAAGAGACATTTGGGAGCCACGAGACGTGCAAGATAATCCAGAGCTTAGATCTAAATAAGGAAGTCTTAACTCAGTAATGGAGAATATCCTCACACATTAAGAAGCACCGAGGGAGGGAAGTCCTTCATCACTCTGTCAGTCAGGTAGGTGATCAGTGAAGAACAGCACAGAATCTATGTACCTGCATGTTCAGCTCAATTTGTGGATGCAATAAGAAGTAAAGTGAGAGTGATCAGCTCACCAGTGACTGTGATATTAACCAGGTTACTGATGGCACCATTACTGAAGAAGCTTGCCTACTGGTGTGTTGCTTGTGTGTAGCAGATTGTCCTTAACGTTCCAGCGAATAGGTTTATTATGCTATAGACCTATCATTAATTGGTCCTTCTATGCCGGTTCCCTGGGATCGCATTCACCGAGGGGGTAAATGTTTCTAAGCATAAATGACAATCAACAATACAAATCTAACAATCTGAAATTTTGTTCAGCTTCAGGAGTCAAGTTTCATGGAGCCAGGATAAATACCATGGGCACTGGTACTATTAACACCACCAGTCCAGAGTCTCAGAGGATAGAAATAAACTTTTGTTAATCACACGTTTCTGTATGATTTCATGCTGTGAACGGTTGTAGGTTGACTTAATACAAGAATGAACATGAGGTCAAAATGTCGCACATCTACAGTCCTACACTTGAACCTGTCAGTTTTTGAAGCCTGTTTCTATTATAGCAACTCTGTTTGCCAGACTGTTACTGTAGACCTACATTTAATGTACACGTGTACGACCTACTGTATATTTATATGCTCTTTGGATTATAATTAACTCTGCCTGTCCTGTTAGTGAATTACCTATAGCTGAATATAGTCTTTTAATTTGCACCCTACCTCTGAATTGAATCAGGTTCTTTGTGAATCTGTTCTGTGCAGCAGCAGAGAGAGAACAGCAAACAGGAGAGAAGATACTGGAGCTGTTATCATCAGTGTGCAGATACAAAAACAGTCCTCTGAAAGAGAAACAGTGTGACTTCCTCATGGACCTGTAATCTTATGAGACTAAAACAGGCTTGAGTGTCCTTCCATCATTACAGTCAGTTTTCCAGTCAGCTCCTGCAGTCTGGTTAATAAGCTCATATATAACATGTTTAATGACAGCAGTTTGATAGATTTTCAATGATGGATTAAGAATCTAAAGTTTTACATGTATCACAGATATTCCTGGTTAATTCAGGCAGTTACTGGTTGTTGGTGAAGTATCTTGTGTGAGCTGGTCTAAAGTGAGGCCCATCCATGCCTCACAAAGCATTTATCAAATAAAGTGAAAGGTCAGCAGGACCTGGAGACTCCAACCAGTCTCAGCTGTCTTCATGACAGAAAAAGGAAAAAGCACAAAGTGATACACAACATACAAATATAGATCACAAGATGCAAACATAACTCACTAAAGGTTTGCAGAATATTAAATGTGAGCAGGACCAGAGTCTGAGTTTGTTTGAGGCTTTAAGAGAGAAAGAGACGCACTGAGCAGCTGGAGCCACAGAGAACTTTAACTTCAATGTAGCGAAACGTCTTCTTTAAAATCAAATATGAATGAAGTGATCAGAAAACACTAGTGAATATTTCACAGAGCGTCACAGACAAGTGTAAACAGCAGAAACACAATGTTGATATTGAAGTGATCAAAGCTACTTTAGGCTGCTCCCTCATCACAAGGAGTCACCTGATAATGCAGGAAAGTGTCTCTGGGATGTTGAAGAGTTTGGAAGTTCTTTACTTGGTTCCTCAGGTTCAACTTTCCTCTGGTTTGTAGTCAGTTAGTTTTAGTAAACAGGTCAGCGTCCAGTCAGGTTCACTTCCAAAGAGCTCCTGAATGAAACGCATCAGTTCAGCTGTTTGGTGCTGTGCTTTCACACAGGTGGATGATGAAAGAAAAGGGCGTGGCCTCCTCGTGTGTCAAATTGAAAACTTAGAGCAGCTGCTCAGGCTAAGGAGGTGATCAGGTTCAGAGGTGGCTCGCCATCTCCTTCATCATGGAGAATCCAAAGCAAACATCATTTCCTGTCATATCAAACATTAGCCTGCATAACACAGAGATGTTACTGCGTTCAATCAATAAATGCCAGGATTCAGTGACCATAACCAATATAACATCTAAACTCAAATGAATTAATACAGCACTATCACAGCTGTTCTCACACAGAGTATTCTACCTTTTTATAGCACAGGAAATAATTATTTGATCCTCTGCTCAATTTATAAGTTTGCTGACTTACAAAGAAATAAACAGTCTCTGATTTTTATCATAGTTTCATTTTCCTGAAGATAGAAAATCAACAAAGATCCAGATTAAACACGCAAACATTAAAAAGTGATTTGAGTCACTGAGTGAAACAAGTGTTTGCTCCATCAGTGGTGTGTGGTTGTTTTTATGCAGCTGAGATCAAATCATCACTAAATGTTTCCTTCTTATTGTTCCAGTGTTGATGATGAGACATCAGATGAAGACAGAACAAAGTTCTTTGTGAATCTGTTCTGTGCAGCAGCAGAGAGACAAAAGCAGACAGGAGAGAAGATAGTGGAGCTGTTATCATCAGTGTGCAGATTTGACACATTCCCTGTTAATGAGAGAGACATGGATGATGATGACGATGATGGCGATGATTATGATATGAAGAAACGTCAGTGTGATCGCCTCCTGGATCTGTACTCCAAAGTGAAGGACTGTGAGACTAAAACAGGCTTGAGTGTCCTCCCATCATTACAGTCAGTTTTTTCAGCTCCTGCAGTCTGGTCCATAAACCTCTCAGAGAGAAAGACCTCCATCCTCCTGGAAGTGCTGAAACTCCAACCAGAGAAGAAACAAGTGGAGCTGAGAGGCTGCTCACATGAAGAGAGTGAAGTGAGGAGTTTGCTGCAGTGTCTGCCTTTTATCTCACAGCTCAGGTAACAGATTGTATTCAGAAGCTTAGTGAAGAGTTTTGATGGAGAACATGCGTTCACCACATGCAGTATACACATAGTATATAGTTACTTTACAAATAAAGCAGAAAAACAACTTTTCTATTCATTTAATCTTAAAGTAAAGTTTTTACCGTCTCTTCTTGATTTAAAGAAGCTTCTAAAAGTTTTCTTGTTTTTATGAGGATTAATAAATTAGTTATGTGCTGCAACTGAGATGATATGTTTCCCTCGTTTATGTTATATTTAACATGGAGCGTCATTATGTACAGGAAGCATGGACCAGATGGAGTCCATCAGCAGTGTGTGGCTGTTTTTATGCAGTAGATTCTCAGACTAAGAGTTATAGTCAGTTTATGGTTTTGAATAATTGTTAAAATGTTGTTTTCCTCTAACGCCCTTATCATTTGGTCTTTTGTTTGCAGTGTGTTGTTTTTTTTTCCTCTGAGTGTACTTAAATCAAGATCGTCGAAGCATCAGGTTTTTTGTGAAGTTGCCTGTTCTGTCAGGCAGCAGAGAGCGAGAGCAGTTGGTTGGTGTTCGGGTGGGGGTGATTTGGTTGAGACGAGAAGTGCAGTATTTGGTATGTTAGTTGCGATGTCAGTGTGCAAGCATTAAAATTCCTCCCTTTTCAATTCGAGAGATATCTTTTCTCTATGACTTATCCTGAAGCAATATCAGTGTGAAACTTCCTCTTGGATTGGTGCTCCTATGTGTAACTGTGCACATACAAACACAGTCTGAGTGTGTGACTTCCTCCTGGACCTGTACTCTTATGAGACTAAAACAGGTCTGAGTGTCCTTCCATCATTACAGTCAGTTTTCCAGTCAGCTCCTGCAGTCTGGTCCATAAACCTCTCAGAGAGAAAGACCTCCATCCTCCTGGAGCTGCTGAAACTCCAACCAGAGAAGAAACAAGTGGAGCTGAGAGGCTGCTCACATGAAGAGAGTGAAGTGAGGAGTTTGCTGCAGTGTCTGCCTTTTATCTCACAGCTCAGGTACATGAATTCTTCTTTACATGATTAATTCTTCAGAAGACGAGATGCTCCCTGAAGTCAGCAGTGGAAACATTTTTCAGTATATGCATTTTAATATAATTGTACAGACGGCTGGAGAGTGAAGCAGCTTGATCATAAGCAGGCTTTCTTTGTGTGAGCTGGCTTGATGAAAGCTAAACCTGCAGTCAGAGATGACAGCTGTGACAATGTGGGGGAAACTTTGTGTTCAGCTTCAGTCTCTGTCCACACTCACATAAAAGGAGACCTTGATTTGCTGTTTCTCTCTTCTTCCACACTAAATGGACCAATCGAATGCTGCCTTCATCAGTCACAAACATGAGCACATGAATGGATGATCAACATCTGTGAAGAAGTGAATGAATAGATGTGTGTGAGCGCTCTGTGCTGCACATTAGAGCTGTAAGAAATATTTGTAAAAATTATTATTGAAAACTATTTTAATAGTGAGGCAATATGAGCAGTGTTACAGGCACAGCCCTGAAGACGGGAGCCTGATGGGCAGTGTGGTCCGTGCAATTCTGCAGATTTTTCTTTCTTTTTTTAACAGCGCATTGTGTTGTGCATCCTGATTTGTTGCAGACCATTACCAATCAACCTTGAGCCGTGTCTCCTGTCCAGTACAGAACGAGTTCAGCTTGTCAAATTTACATAAATCCTCGAGCAGCAGTGCTGTTTGTTTGTAGGGTTTCTCCCCCACAAACACGACAATGTCGACGAAACCTTTTGCACCGTCAGAGGCTCCTGTGGTAGCTCCCACAAGGCTGAGGAAGACGCTAACTATGGCACCAAAAGTTTGACTCCTGGACATGCTAAAGGAAGCTAGAAGTTACCGCATTCTTCAGATTATAAGACGCATTAAGCAAAGCCAAACAGTCAGAGGAGTCAAACTTGACTCATTCTTCTTGCTTCGTCTACTTCTGTACCATCGATTCATTAATGTTGAACTCTCTGCAGCTGTTCCCATGTTCTGAAAACAGGGTTTGATCTTTGGTTTCTTCTATAATACTGGACTTATTTTTCTAACAAGGTTTGAACTTTGTGTTTAAACAAGCGAGAGAAGAGTGAAAATGTTCATACCTGTCTGAGGAAAGTGTACAGCTTGTAGTGAGGTTATTTACAGCCTTCAAACATCTATAATAACTTTAAAAAATGAAGCTGACTACTGTACAGATTTCACCTATCGCAGGATTTTTTAGAACCTAACTGCCGCAATAAACGAGGGTCCGCTTTACACATAAAATAATGAGGCCTCTGCCTTTAAATGGGGGGACAGTACCTGCTGAGTAAGTGTGTAAAAACTGCACATAGTAAGACGTGAAAAAAGACGCACAACTTTTGACGCTGCGTGATGAACCCCGTATTCCTCGTCCACGTAAATGCAAAGAAGGAGTTTAAAAAATCTAGTTTTAGATTGATTCAAAATGCCGTTTACGTGTGAACGAAAGGCCCAAACATAGAAAAAGCTGTACAGGTGTGGACAGAGCTTAAGACGTAGATTATTTTATTGCTACCAGTAACTGATTGCATTTTTACTCTTATTTGTTTCATTGTTCACTAAAGGTTTTAGGTTTGAAATCAATTTTAAGTCGAGTTGGTTTTGGTCTGGTGAGTAACCTTCAGTAATAGTAATAAATCACACAGCAATGAGACATTAATGTAGTTGTAAAAAGCATGATAATATATTAAGTAATCCATAGTATTCAGAAGTATGTTACAAAATACTTTTGGGGCATGTAATCTGTAATCTGTAGTGGAATACATTTGAAAATGTAACCTTCCCAACACTGACTGTAGTCAGAATCTAAATTATTCATGTCTAGGAAGGCTTAGGGACTTCAAACACATGGAGTCCATCATGCAGTGTGTGGTCTGTTTTTATGCAGCTCACATCAAATCATCTCTGAATGTTTCCTTCTTATTGTTCCAGTGTTTTTCCTCTGTAGGTCACTCATCCATGAGCAGTCAGGTTCTTTGTGAGTCTGTTCTGTGCAGCAGCAGAGAGAGAGCAGCAGACAGGAGAGAAGATCCTGGAGCGTTAGCATCAGTGTGCACATATCAGACATTCCCTCGTTCATGAGAGACCATGGATGAGATATGATGATGATCTGAAGCAATATCAGATGACTTCCTGTTGGATCTGTGCTCCCATGTGAAGGACTGTGAGACTAAAACAGGTCTGAGTGTCCTTCCATCATTACAGTCAGTTTTCCAGTCAGCTCCTGCAGTCTGGTCCATAAACCTCTCAGAGAGAAAGACCTCCATCCTCCTGGAGCTGCTGAAACTCCAACCAGAGAAGAAACAAGTGGAGCTGAGAGGCTGCTCACATGAAGAGAGTGAAGTGAGGAGTTTGCTGCAGTGTCTGCCTTTTATCTCACAGCTCAGGTACATCGACATCGTTCTTACATGAATTAAAGATCGATGCTCTGCAAGTAAAGCAGTGGAAACATATTCAGTGAATGCATTTTAAGCTCTAATTTGACAGACTGTTGCTGCGAGGTGAAGTCAGCTTTTAGATGACCAAATTTAAGTTCTAGCATTTTTTAACATTGAGTGTCGTGAGATAACTGGCTTGAGTGACATTTACAGCTACAAACCTCTGGGAAAGCTTCAGTAGATATTAGATACTGTGACAGGATTGTGTCGTGGGCAAAACTTACACATCAAGCTGTTGCAGAGGGAACGTTCAGTCTCATGTTCCTCAGCCATTGGCTCTCTTCACATCCAAAAGGAGCCTGATTTCTACGTTATTCTGCTTCTTCCACACTAAATGTAGACCATGATTCACCTATAAAGAAATATGTCATAGTGACACCTTAACAATATGTACATCAAACAGAGCAACATGATGCGCATAGATCTAACATGCTGGTAGAAGCATTAAAGTGAATGAATAGAATGTGTGTGAGCGCTCTGTGCTGCACATTTATTGTAAGCTGACTGAATAAAGTGACTTTGACTGACACAAACTGAAGTTACTGTGCATTCGCCGACACACACTGGAGAGTTTTACACATCAAGTGAAGTATGTCAACTATGAGCAGTGAATTAAAGCTAGGAAGTCCACGCTGATTTATGACCTGAATCCTGCACGGTTTTCAGCCTGTTACATGGGAAGCCAGTGTAGGAGCTCGTGAACTAAACATGGCTCAATGCACGAATTGTCTTTTTTTAAACTTTTCTAACAGAAATTATTGGTCAATTTGTGTAATCAAGTAAATGATTACTGATGTTGTTGTTCCACGTGATTAGCAGCAGGTGAGCTGCTGTTAGATTTCCCCCTGGTTTTTATTGATACGTTAGCCTGTCTCTGCTACCTTATAACAGACTGAACTTTCAGCTTAGTAATATTTTCATCATAGAAGATTACTCCTCCTAGTATGCGTATAATGGACACAGTGGTTTGCTGACTCATTATGTTAATGAAAGGTGTACTTCTCCTCCACAAACGAACGACTCAATGTACAGTGTTACAAACCTATTTTCACACGTCTACTGGGTTAGGAACATTTGTTAGCTGGTCTAAGTGAGCTCCATGACTCTCCACAAGGCTGTAGTAATAACCTGAAACTCATGCAGACTGAACCAAAGAGTTCTGACTGCTTCTGGACAGCGAAAGGAAACGCTAAAGTGTACCGCATTACTCAATTTATAACACAGTCATAACATAACCAAATTGCAGATTCAGAGCAGCAAATCTTAGAGGGGACTCATTCTGCAGCTGGAGCCTCAGTGCTGACTTCATGTACCTGACTTCCTATCAATAAATGTGAACTTCGACAGAACCTAGTATCATTTCAACAGCGTCACAGGGTTAAAGACTTGCAGTTTATTCTGAAGCGATCGGACTATTTACTCTCTCAACAAGGTTTAGACTCTGTGTTTGAGAAAAGCCTGAGATGAAGAGTGGAAAAGTTCTCGTCTGGCTCTTGAGTTGTAGTAGTACAGCTTGTTAGTAGACGGTCCAGTTACAGCTTCAACTTCATAAGTAGCTCTGATGAAAACACATGAAGCTGACTACTTGTCGTGCTTTCACACTAGTGCAGGTTGAACGCTAAGGCTGGCCTTCGTCGAAGTAAACAGAGTCGCTGCTTTCAGCATAAAGGAGTGATGAGGCTCGGTGGCTCGCCATCTTATCACATGGAGAGTGAAACAGATTCCTGTCTGAGTAAGATTGTAAAAACTGCACGTTATGCATAAACAGATACAGATCAGTGACAAGAAATACAAGACTAACTCTCATATCCGACGTACGTGATGAATCCCGTATTCACTGTTCCACTAGTGTTCATTTAAGAGGATTTAAAAATTATCTCTTCAATAGATTTAGACTGATTCAAGAAATAACGCTCGTTTACGTTGATCGAAAGGCCCAATTACAATAGAAAGCTGACAGAATGGCAAGCTAAAGTCAGATTATTATGACTACCAGTAAAGATTGCATGTGTGTCAGCGTGTGTGGTTGTTTCATATGTCACTCACATCAAATTTTAGTTCTGAATTTCACTTCTTAATTGTGCGAGTTGGTCTGGCATGAGATGAAGTACGACGAACTTGTAGTCGTAATCTCACAGCAGAAGAGAGCATCATGACGTTGAAGAGAAGCATGGACTAAGTATATTCACAGTTCCATAGTATTACAAGTACTGCTTAAAAGAATGACTTCTTGGGACCTGTATCTTAATCTGTAGATGAATACAGTCTGAGTAGCCTTCCACACTACTGTGAGTCCAGAAATTCAGTCAACTCTGCATTGGTCCATAACCCTAGGAGCTCCTCCCGCTGCTGAACTACGGGAAAGTCTGAGCTGTAATAAAGAGTAGGCTCAGGCCTTATCACGTCGGTAAGCATTCTAGAGCTCTGTAAAGATGTTGTGAAAAAAGTGGAAAGCCCATAATGTAAGTATTTGCTTGGCATGCATCAGACATTACTATCTCATGGATCATTGTAATTTCCTTGCTTCAGACGTGTGTCCCTGTTCACTGATGTTGCTGTGTCTATGAGTTCTTTTCGAGACTTAATTTATCGATCTGAATGACTTCTGAGAGGTTGTTTTGATAACTTACTGATCCTGCAGTGCACATGAGAACATCTCCATCTGATGACAGCATGACAATCAGCGAGCCCAGTGAGTAACGTGAGTACATGACTGACTATCCTGACTTTTTACTGAGCAGAGATATGATGTAGCCTCATAGGAGCTGAGTTCAGCAAGAAGTGGTGAGCAGGTGATGCAGTTGTGTCCCTCTTTATGATTGACCAAGCAGACACTAAATCTACGCGAAGCATGATTTCACAGCTGAGTTGTGAGTCATATGTCAGAACACTGTCAGCGCTCTATGAAGATGGTTAAGTGACTTCATTTACAATGGATCATAGCATGGCTTTATCAGCTCAATAATCTTCTGAATTCCTTTTTGTTATTGCTGACATTACAACAAAGTTCTTTGTGGTTGTCTGGCAGCAGCGAGCAGCGAATCCTGGGCGTGCTCGCATCAGCATCCTTCATGGGCTACCATGATGATGAGAGATTCTGAATAGATTTTCTGTTGATCTGCTCATAAGACTAGATAGTCTGAGTGTCCTTCCATCATTACAGTCAGTTTTCCAGTCAGCTCCTGCAGTCTGGTCCATAGACCTCTCAGAGAGAAAGACCTCCATCCTCCTGGAGCTGCTGAAACTCCAACCAGAGAAGAAACAAGTGGAGCTGAGAGGCTGCTCACATGAAGAGAGTGAAGTGAGGAGTTTGCTGCAGTGTCTGCCTTTTATCTCACAGCTCAGGTAAATAAGTGATGATGGTTTCATTTGCAGAACGTTTCCAGCATGTTCTCTGATCCCATCTTCACTGTGTTCCAGCTGTGGTCCAGAGTTCTTCCAGAGTGTGTGCACATCCATGTCTGTAAGATCCAGAGAGGAGGCCCAGCAGCTGGAGTCTCTGCTGCAGCTGCTGGGCTTCCAGCTGCTGCTAACAGGAGCGTTACACAGGAAAAGCTGCATGGTCTGTGGGGAGAGTTCTCAAACTGTGCGGCTCTAAAGTGGATCTCATCCTCACACCCAGCAAGATGTCTGCCAGAGGAGGCGCTCTGCTCTTCAGACACACAACACAACTACACAGTCTGAGGCAGGAAGTGAAACCATGACTCTCTCCTGCTCTTCTAACATCATTTCTATGTGAATCTTTAGTTCTTGGTGTTCATCATTTCTGCTCTTTCGTCTCTTCGTTCTTCAGGCTTTCCATCGACATGTCCTTGCTGCTGTCTCAGTGGGTAAGAAGAGGCAGAGCGGCCCGTCGGCTGGCTGTTGAAGAGCTTTCTCTTGTGCCTAAGAAAGCCCGACCATCACACAGAGTATTGTTGAGGGCTGTCAGTAGTTTGGCTTCCCTGCTGAGATACTGGACAGTCGGACGGTTAGACCTGACTGAGACCTGCATCCCTGCTCAGGGTCTCATTCACTGCTGCTCCATCATGGTCCTCTGACAGTCAAGTAAATGTCTTTCCTGAACATCACAGGACAAATAAAATGTCAGATTTTTACTTCAAGCTTATTTTATATTTATGATCTCTGCAGACTGAGTGAAGAGAGCTTCCAGCAGCTCCTGTCTCTCCTCCATGAAACCCAGGACAAGGACTTGACGTTGTCCTTCTTGAGTAAGGTTGGTGGAGACCTGACCTCCTGCTGCCTGAGCTGGGAGCTGCTTCACTATCTGCTGCAGCAGCCGTCGGCTCCGACCATCACTGTGGACCTGAGGAAGAACCTGTTCTTACAGGAGGAGACCACACGTCTGCTTCCCTTTCTGGACAGGATTGTGTTTACAAGGTGCTGAATGTGGTTTGATCTTTTACACAGTTTCTGCTGATTAATCAGGAGGATTTGAAATGCTGTCTCATCTTTAATCAGCACTTCATGGATCCTTTAAACAAAGTTGGAAATAAACTCTTTGTTTTCAGGCCCAGTCCCAGCTTTGTGATGAGCTCCATCAGAGAGCTCTACAGAGCTCACGACAGTCACGCTGTTCCCAGTTTGCTGAGGTCACTCGGTCATGTGATCAGCCTGAGCTGCAGACAGCTGGACTCAGTGGACTGTGCTGCTCTGATCTTCATCCTCAGACACGGAGACGGAGTCAGACTGAACCTGCTGTGGACCTCCATACCAGCAGGGGGAGTAGAGTCCATCCTGCTCATGCTGGACAGCGTTTCTCGTCTCAGGTCCGATATTAGAGCTCGTTTCTCTGTGCTGCTCTGTGTGATTGCTGAACAACACACTTTATTGTAACATAATGCTTCAAAAACAAGCTGACATTTTACTGTTAGTGTGGAACAGATTACACGAACAGTCGAACAAGAAACTACAAGGAAAGTTTCAAACAGCAGGCAGAGTGAACATCATTTAAAGGTAGAGCAGTAATAATAACAACAACAGCAACAATAACACATTTTATTAGTGGGCCTGTCTAACAACCCAGGGTCACCGTAGCAAACACGGAACAGGAAACAGGATCCAACAGTAACTGGTTCATGGTGATGTTTACAGACAGTAAGCTGGTTTGAAGACGGCTTTGAGTTCAGTTTTCCTGGAAAAGAATCCAGAGCCGCTGATAGTGGTGCTCATAGTGGCGACATGTACGAACAACCATGTGGTGAAGCTTCAGATCTTATATATCATAGTTGGAAAGAGACGATAATTACACTCTGATGACACAAACATGTTCTCACTATGGTATGTGTTCTTTAATGATGACCAGATGTTTATTTCACTACTTATCATCGAGGGTTTCATCACAGATGCCCCGCCCCCGACTGTTTCACACACGCTTTTCTTTAGCATTAGCCCGCTGTCATGGCAACAGTGAGAGCCGTTTGTTGTATTTTAATCCAACACAAACTTTACTAAACAACAAAGAAATTCAGACTAATCAAAAGTTTGATTTTTTTTTTAAGGGCCGACTTATCGCTGAACACACTGCAGCTTAGCATTAGCCGTCCTGTTTTTAGATGTCACACAATATTCATGAATTATTTACAAAGTTTACAAATGTCAGCTTTGCAATTTCTCATTAATTCTACAGATAATTGTTTAAAAATATATTATTGGAAATCATTTGGTGAAGTTTACAAATGAGGCCCAAACATTTCTGGTGGTCTTCAGTGTTTCCCAAACTGCAGCCTCCGACTTGTTGCTTCTGATTTCTGTGTCTCATTTGTGGTTTTACCAAATGGTATCATCAGCGTTATTGTCATTTTAATCTTAGTGAATTAAAATTGGTCGAATTAACAATTTAATAGTATTAATTATAGTTATTATCAAGTGTTGTCATTACACCTCCTGGGCTACTTTTATCAGCTGCTCGAACAACAAGCTGAAGGCTGGAAATCACAAGTTTGTCTGCAGACACATTTGAACTGGACCCATTAAAATAATCTCCTACATGCTGTGTTTCTGTGGCTTCCTGGGCACAAAGGAGACATTTACTCTTCATCACTGCTGACAAATGATGCTTTTAATCTGATAAATGCAGTAAATTATGAACAACGAGTTACCAGATGAACTGAGTCCTTATTCATTTAAAGCTGTTATCTGTTAACATCCACCTGCACAATCAGCCCAAGCAGGGAAACTGGGCTCAGTGTGACTTTGTCTTAATAACATGAGTGCTGTGCATAAATCCAACATCTAATTACAATAATGTGTCTGCTGCTAGTTCATAGATGCTGTTCTTAAAATCCTTTAGTTTTAAAGATCAACACGTTTTATTGGAGCCAGCAGTTTGTTTGCAGCATCTATAATTTTAGATTTTCTGTCTCCATGCGTTTCTTTCCAGTGTTGACAGGAACCAGCTGCTGAGGTTCATCCACTGCTGTGCTGCCTGTGACGTCCAGCAGGAGGCAGCGTCAGGCCTGCTGAGGACTCTGCAGCACAGCTTGGATCTGTCCTGCTCCTCCTGTGTGGAGCTACCGGAGGAGGATCAGACTGAGCCTCTGAGTCTGACTGCTGATGACTGCAGGGCCGTCTCCACCATCCTGACACGGGGCAGCCGGGACACACAGCTGGACCTGCGAGACTGTGAGGTGGAGGACAGCGTGCTGGACCTGCTGTTTCCTGTCCTCCACAGGGTCCGCCTCAGGTGGGAAAGACCACCGAAGAGTCTGAACCAGAGAGAACCTTGTTCACGCTGGTGTTGATGCATCCTGACAGTTTCTCTGTTTGTCCTGTTTAGAGTCAGTAACACTGTCCTCCTCCAGCTGCTGTCTCTGGTTCCTGTGAACAGTGAGAGGGACGCAGTGAGGCGGGCGGTGTCCCTGTGTACAGCCCTGGGTGGAGAGCTGGATCTCAGTCACAGCACGCTGGATCAGAGGGTCTGCGGGGCTTTGGTCCAGATGCTGGACTCGTGTGAAGGGCTGACAGAGCTGGACCTCAGTCACTGTCAGCTCACTGACCAGCTGCTGCTCCCTCTCATCACACATCTGCACAAAGTCCAAGTCCTAGAGTGAGTGTCACACACTGATCCTGCTGTGGGAGGCACCAACAACCATCAGCCTGTTCACACACACTACAGTAATATAATGTGCAGCGATCAGTTAGAGCCACATGTTGTGTTTGTGTTACAGTCTGAGTCACAATCAGATCACTGATGCTTCGACCGACGTGTTACTGCAGCTGCTCTCCATCAACCCCTCCATCCACTGTGTGCGGTGAGCCAACATGAAGGAGTTTCTTCTCAGACTCTGAGAGGAATCATTCACAGCCTGAGCTCACGTGGATTCATGTTGTTCTGTGTGAGTGACGTCTGCTCTCTGCTTTGGTCTCTTTCTAGACTCTTCAGCAACAACATCGTGCACAGAGCAGCCTTCAAGGAGCACACGCAGTTTGAGATCTGGTGAAGCTCGCCATCATCTTTAACATCGTCGTCATGGTCGCCATCATCAGGGAGATGTAGTTTTATGGTCTCAGTAAAAACTCTCACAATTGCTTCATACTAAACAATTTGATATAATTTAAATTTAATTTAAGTAAGAATCGCTCGGCTGAGGAGATCCAGCGTCCCCGCCTTCTCTCACCTCGTCTTCGCTGCAGTGAATCTGCAGAATCTGCAGCCACTGTAACAGGTTCCCTGGATGGCTGTCACCGGTCTGATGGACCCTACCAGGATCGCCCTTGTTAACGCTCGGTCGTTAGCAAATAAAACGTTCATGTTGATTTCCTCTGTGTGACAGAAACCTGGCTAAGTGACGGTGAGTTAAGCGCTTTCTCAGAACTGTCACCGCCAAACTGTTGGTATTTTAACTCACCGAGGACTACGGGCCGAGGTGGAGGAGTGGCCACAGTTTACAGAAATACTTTTCGCTGTCACCTGTCACTTTCTCCAGTTTTGACCTGAATATGTTTGAGCTGGGTCATCCTGTTCTCTGTGCGCTGATCTACCGTCCACCTAAATATAACAGCAACTTTGTTCATGACTTCTCTGAGTTCTTGGCTGAAATAATAACAAAGTAGGACAAAGTTTAATCCTGGGTGATATTCATGTGTGTTGTCCTACTAAACCACTGGCAAAGGACTTTTTAAACCTACTTGATGCTTTTAATGTGTTGCAGTCTGTCACTGGTCCCACTCATAAACATGGACACACTCTGGTGTTGTCTCATGGTTTACCTGTTTATAATCTTCAAATTTATGATGCCGTCTTTTCTGAGCCTGTATTGTTTGAAACTTCTCTTCCCTGTAACATCACTACTTGTGTCCTCCTACTGCTTCTCGCATGTTTAAACCATCAAGTGTCGCCCAGTTTTCTACCCCCTTTATTTTTTTATTATTAGAATTGTTGTCTTAAGGCCAAGAAAGATGCCAAGCGGATTTATTTTACCAAGTGGATCATCATGGCCTTGCCATATTGGTCCATTTGATTGACCTTTATTATAATTATGAATTTATTTTATTTTCAGTTGCTACAAACGGGACAGACATGACTGGGGATAGGACAGGGAGAAAGAATGAAAGAAAGAGAGGGAGAGAAAGAAAACCAAAGGGGAGAAGAGACGGTGAGAAGGGGGGGAAGAAAGAAAAAAAACACCTGGATCACCTGTATGGAGAAAAAAAACAGAAGAGAAAGCAAACAACAAAGAGCAACATAATAAAAAAAACAGCACCATCACAATAAACTAGCTAGCAGTAGATAACAGTAGATACTAAATAATAAACGATATTGTGCAGCACGCAAGATAGGGTTCAAAATATTGGGGATGGACACCAGAAGAAAAACCCACAATAACAACACTGGTCCGGTCGGGTTGAGTCAAACGATGATTTAATGATCACACACGTGGGAGATGGACACTGTATGCAGACAGTCTCAGATCTCATCTCAAAAAACACATCATCATAGTTTTGTAAAATCAGGGTATTAGAACGCCCCTTCATGCGTAGTGACAGGTGTAATACAATCAATGTTGACAATTTTATTTAACACAAAGAATAACATTGTCTCCTTCCCGAGGGCAGACGCTGACTGCCCCCCGTCTCCTGGAACCGTCTGTACCCTGCTAAGACACAACATGGCAGCTACAAGGACTCTTTCATTTGTTAAGACCATCAGTGTGTATTGCTCTAAGTCAAGCATATAATATTAAATGAATATTGCTGGATCAGCTACTTCTACTTAAAACATATTAAAACATGACTAAGCACAAAATCACCAAGAATAACATCTTAGAAGTGCTGTGTAAGCGCGTGCGGCCTTCCAAGCTCAAAGCCTTTGCCCTCCATAGATCAGCTTTTAACCTTTAATCAACTTGAGCACAACTCTAGAATAAGCAACAAACTGCAATGTGTATAGAATGATCATGGTTAAATCTGCAATGGAAAATCATGTTATTATTCTGGTACCTGTAAGGAAAAAGATCAAACTAAAGTTATAACAATCACTGTAATGCAAAGGATAATGTAAAGTCAAAAAACTTCAATTTATGTTTAATGCAAAGCTGATTATATACTTCTAATGAACTAATAATGCCATATTAAAATATTAAATGATAATGAGAAAAACATCCCCTCCTTATTTTACAATTCCCTCTGTTGACCTCTGGAGAATCCAGAGGTCACAAACAGTTGTTTCCCTCCTTGGCCTACACATTCAGTTCCACATGCATCATTGGCATCATGGACATTGGAGTAATGACTCCAGGGTCCACTGCCCTCACAGACATACTTTTGAACATTCTTCTGGCACAAGGGATGAGACAACAACAAATAACCATAATACCCACCACAACAGACAAAGAAAACATGACCGAAGCGATAACCCCCTTCCACCGTCCGAACACTGAGGTCAGCCAGCCTTCCAACGGACTATCAACACCTGAGTGATCATGCATAGTTTCAGAAAGGCTCTTTAGGCCCTCCAGAGCCTTGGTTACCGACCCATCTGGAGCAGTGTTGTTTGGATGTATTTTATTTGTTTTTGATTGTTTGTTGATGTGGTACTTTTTTGGTGAATTTTGTCTTTTTTTTTTTTGTTTTTCGTAGTTGATATTTGTTTTTTTTTTTATGTTTTCTATTTTTTTAGTTTGATTTATTTTTTTTTTTATTATGTTGCTTTCTTCTTTTTTTTTTTTTTTGTCTGTTTTTTTGTTTTTTTGTTTTGTTGTTTTTTTTTTTGTTTTTGTTTTTTTTTTTTTTTTTGTTTTGTTTTTTTTTTTTTTTTTTTTTTTTTGTTTTTTGTTTTTTGTTTTTTGTGTTTGTTTTTTTTTTTTGTTTTTTGTTTTTTTTTTTGTTGTTTTTTTTGTTTGTTTTTTTTTTTTGTTTTTTGTGTGTTTTTTTTTTTTTTTTATTATTTTTTTTGTTTTGTTGTTTTGTTTGTTTCTTTTTTAGTTTTCTTTTTTTTCTATTTTTTTGTTTTTTTTTTTTTTGTTTTTCTTTTTTTTGGCGTATTGTTTTTTGTTTTTATCTTCTGTTGTTTTTTTTCTCTTTTAATTGAGGTTTTCTTTGTGTTTTATTGGTCTTTTTCAGTTTTTTTTTGCGTTTTTTCACTTTAACTTTTTTTTTTTTTTTTTTTTTTTTCTTTTCTTTTTTTTCTTTTTTGTTTTTTTTTTGTGTTTTTGTATTTTTTTTTGTGTGTATGTATTGTTTTTATAGATAGTTTTTCTTTTTTTTTATTTTTTTTTTTTTTACATTATAGTGAACATAATTGATCCTATCTACGTTCTTGTTTGGGGTCACTGGAAAGAAAGCAGAAATTATTGGAATATTTTCAAACCCGGCTGCTATTTGATCAACAAGTTTAAATTCATTTGGAACCCCCCTGGGCACTCCAATGGAGTCGATCCAGGTGGGGGAATTCATCCTAGGGTCATAGGCGTGTGTGTCATGAATTCCTCTCTTCCTCAAAATGTGTCTTTTGCGCCTGGCTGCCAATGTGCGCGTATTGTGTGGGGGAATTGATTTTACCTTATCTCC